GGACTTTGTATGACTCTTGAGATGAATTATATTAATCATTCAGAACTACTGATAGAATCCCGATTTTTTTCCAAACGAGGCAAAGATCCAAGGTTCTAATAAGGCTAAGATCAGGAAACAGCTGTCTCTTTAAACAGAGATACATTATTTTCTATATATAACTATGCTATTTACTTGGTTATTTACCTATTCAGTGTTGCCTCATCTGAGGTTATTGTAAATTGAGGGACAGAGGATCCCAGAAGTCAGAAACAGCAACATATCCCAGTTGAACACTGCCCTAAGTTTTAAACGTTATTCCAAGAGCCATAGAGTTTGGGGAAATAGGAAGGATTTCCTGAGTAGAAGGAGGAAGTATAAAATTAAAATTAAAGAAAAAAAAAAAGGAAGTGAAAGTCTGAGCTGAAGGAATGAGCAGGCAAAACTTTTGGGAAAACAGAAAGGTTAAACTGGCACAAGTCCACAGGCCCCAACCAAAGGAAGAAGGGGCTCCATGTACAGCCAGCCCTGTGCTGCTGGAGTCTACCCATACTGGACAGCCAGGAGATGCTCCAAGGCTGCTCTGGGGTGAGAGGTTTGTGGAAGTCCTCATGACCTAAGAGAGAAGGTCCTATGTAGTCAGAGGCTGAGGGACAGTGCAGGACTTAGAGTCCATCAACTCAGCTTAAACATTCAGTAAACTTCTATCTCCTTTATCATAACCACACCAAGCTTCCTGTATTCTTGTTAGTTTTTGAAAAAGAAGTCTGGGCTAGGTGGATGTATCTTGGGATTTATGTAAGTTTTGAACTATGATCATTCTGGGAAGAAAAGAAGCCGAGAGGAAGTTCGATGATGTATCCTGCTGCAACTGTCCCCCCCAAAACCATTTTTCCTCCCCATTTGTCCCTGAGGGGCAAGGATTGGATGTGATCATTGGCTCATGTAATGTGGGCAGAGGCCGGTGGATTGAAATGAACTCTACCACGGTAGAGAAAACAAGGCCAAGAAAAGAAAATCTGAGAATAATTGGAGTGCTTTAGGTGGAAGGTCATTGCTGAGGAGAAAGAAATCGAGAGCTCCCACAAGGATAAAAGGAAAAACTCTACCTAATGGAATCTAAACCTAATAGTTAAGTTTTATGCCCATTTAAAGAATGAAAGTGATGTGATTGTGAAAACCATATATGTGTGGAAGGATGGGAGGGAGCTAGAGGTCTTTCCAGGACAGAAAGTTGTAGAAAGTTTTAATGCAAACAGATCTCTTTTGGGTTTGGACTATTTATATTTATCATTATTTATTAGAAATAAATCTCTCCTGGTTCTTGTATTAATTACCTCCAAAGTCCATGCGGATTTTATCACATTACCTTTGGCCTAAGGCATAAATAGAAACTAGGAAAGCAGGTTCTCCACGATAACTGCTGAGCTTTTTCGGCACGGTGAAAGGACCTCTAGAGTAGGAGGGGTCGGATACCTTGTCTCTGGGCCTGACCCTAGTACGAAACAGCTAAGCGAGTCTGGGTAAATTGTTGAGCCTCCCTGGCACTGTGTGCACACCTGTAAAGGGGGAGTGTAGTCCAGCTCGGAAACTGCATACTTCCAGGACGTGCCTGAGCAGCTCGCTGGAACGCTCAGCACCCCTGCGGGTCCGGCGTGGAAGAGGCCGCATGCCACACTTACTAGGCAGTCTGTCAGATGGCCGACGAGGCTCCTGTTCAGCAGCCACCGTCCCACACGCCGGGGGCCGCCTGACCCGAGGGGGCGGGCGAGGTAAGCATCCCGCTGCAGGATAAAGCAGCGACTCCCGCGGGCGAAGAGTCGGCGAAGGGCGCCAAGGATTCCAGCCGTTTGATTTCCCTGTGACCCACACCACTGCGGGTGCGTCGCGTGGCCCGCGCGGCGTGTTGACGACGGCGTCGCGGCGGTTGCTTGGACACGGCCAATCACGGCGCGGCTCCCCGCCGGCCCCGCCCAGGGAGCCCGCCNGTCATTCTGTGCGGTTTCCACGTCGGCGCTGAGAGCGGTGTTCTCTTCCTTGTACGGTGGAGGGAAAGAAGCTTAAAGAGGCGGGGCGGTTGCAGATGCTCAGCCCTGGGGCGTGGGTGGAGACGAGACAGGCAGCGGGGACCATGAGCTGCAGTTTTGCAAATTCGCAGTTCTGTAATTTGGAAGCTAGGACTGCAGTTACCAAAAATATTCTGATCTCTGAGTGTTACTATAGGCATTATTTTCTCCATTCGGTTTTATTTTAGCCCTTGTTTTATTTTACCTTATCAAGTAAGCAAAGAGCTCAAAATGCATTCTCATTTTTTTCAGTCACTAGGAAATAAAACTGTGCCTATGAAAAGCATCTATAAATCCTTAATAAGAGATCCCGACAGCGAGCATTGTTTTTAGTATATTGGGATATTAAATTGTGTTTTAGATTTTAAGACTGAAGAACTGATCAGATCATTTGTAGGTTTTCAAGTCAAAGATCTAATAAAACATAGCTAATATTAGAAATGAATAATTCTGTTCCCAACAGACAAGTCTACTTTATCCATAGAAGTTTATTTTTCCTGCATTCTTCTAATGCCTTTAAAATTTTTAAAGTGCTGAAATGTTTGATCCCAGATCACAAATCATTCCTTAAACTTATGACTGTATACTTTGGTCTTGCAAATGACACCTGCCACCTGCACCACCAAAAAGACAAACAAAACCTGGACAGTACGAAAGATTCTGTTCAGAAGGGGAGTAGTACACCAGGCGTGCCTACACTTGCCAATGCCACATCAATCCCTGCTGTCCACATCCTGCCAGACTAATATTCCTGGGTCAAGCAGGTGAGATAGATCACACAGCATCACACAGCCAAACACACTGTCTCATGGGGTCACACCAGGCACTCCTGACCCCACCCTCACCTCCTGCCTTCTCCCTTCCCTGGGACAATTGCCACATACATGCAAGTCACTGCAGACGACCTTGTTTCTGTCTCTTACGTTTATGTGTCTGTAAGCATACATTCTTATGAAAATATTAAACATTACATAAATTGTAGAAAGAAGAGTGAGCAGAAGTTTAAGGTCATTCTGAAGTCTAGCATAGCTGGTGTGGACTTCAGTTCACCTAGCCACAGGACAGCCTGCCTCATTTTTGTTTGTTGAGTGATTTGGAAATAGAATGCCTTTAGCACAGTTGTGGTACACCATTGTACTGAACTTTTAACAAATCTGTTTTGAATTTACATTTTTCCAGGTAATTTGTATCCTACCTTCAACCTCAGTATTGACATTTATCATATCACTCCCATCTTTAATGTCTAGTCTCCCAACTACCATTGCAGTCTCTTTGCCCACTGTCCCCAACACAGTCCCTCCAGCAAAGAGACTAACTTGGTCCCTGACCCTAAGCACAGATGCCTTTCCTCTTGTGACCCAGATTGCCACAGTTTGTGAATCCAGTCCTACAGGTCCTTCAGGGTCAGCTCAAACCTTTCTTTCTTCACAAAGTCTTTCAATGGAGGCTCCAACCCCAGTGATTCTCTGAACCTGTCCAGCCTCAGAGCATCAGTTGTCGGTACACTCTTGACAACCATGTACTTCCTCGTGACAGTCCTTTCATTGTTATTTAATCTTTGTGCTGTTTACTTTCCAGGTCGAATGTTTTTTCTTTTTCTTTATACAAGTCTATTACTTTTTAAATTATAATTATTGTATCATAGTTCATTTTACATATCTGTAGGGTATGGAGTGGAATATCCTTATCTGTGTGCATTATGTGGTACTCAAATCAGGATAACTAGTATATTCAACATTATACAGTGTAATTGTTTTTTGTGGCCCTTTACAATTCTATTACTGACCCTGCTTGGGCTTATGGCCATGATTAGAATCTTTGGCAGGGGAGGGAGGTGATAAATGAAATAAAGGAAGAAAAAGCAATTTTCCTAAGCCCACTGCAAAACCTACTACCAGAGGAAAAAGAGAATATTAATTCACTGCAACTGCCCTGGACAGCCACTGCCAGCGGTGCAGAATCTGTGAGTTCACCATGTCCAGGTGGCTTTGTGCCCCTGGATCTACCCAAGGTGCTGGTTCAGAGGGTAAGAGAAGAAGAGAACATCAGGGAAGCCTCACTCAGAGGCCCAGTCACTGAAGAAATCCCCACCCCCAACCCCCAACAAGGTTTGATTTTTAAAACTGGGTAATGAATGTAGAATTTTAACCTGAGCGGAAAGAGGCCTTAGTGTTTACTGTTCCATCTTCCTGAAATGCTCTACCCCCAGACAGCCACGTGACTTGCTTCCTCACCACCTTAAGTCTTTGCTCCAACGCCACCTTGTCCCTGAGGCCTTCCTGGACCAGGGCACTGAAAATCGCAGACATCCGTCTCTTTAGACAGTTCTCCACTAACTCTCTGTCTGCCTTCCCTGCTTGACTTTTCTTCACAGCACATGGCGCCGTCTAACTCCCATAGCACTCAACTTTGCTGTGATCTGTCTCTCTGCTCTAGGATGTGAGCTCCTGGGGAGCAGGGAGCTCCGTCTGTTTTGTTCACTGCATATTGCAGGGCCTGGAACCGGGCCTGGCATGAAACAGGCCCTCAGTGCGTCTGTGTGGAATGAATAAAGATGTGAGGAACCTAAATCCAGTTGCCTTCCTTTTAAAGGATGTTCCAGTGGGGTAAGCACTCATCAGACTAATTATGCTAATTATTCGCTTTTACCAGAGAATCCACAATGAAAGACTGATCTTCCCCTTGATGAATAGAAACAGAGGGTCAACTGTGGGGCTACAGCAACAGCTCTAGAACTGGGACAATGATGGTAGCTACGAGACAGGAGGTGCTCAGTTCCCCTGGGATCAGGTTACAGGAACACACCTCTGGTTTTCAGGCAGGTCTCAGGGCCCTCTTCTAGGCCCTCCCCTAGAGGAGAATTACTGTTGCTAGCTGAACCTATTTTCCCACCGATGCGAGACAGGGGGCTGACTTATGCAAATCCAGTGGCCAAGCATGCGCCATAGAAAGGGCTTCTATAACCCTAATGGCCAAGCATGCTCAGGAAAGTGGAATTTATATTCATTAGATAGCATGAATATGTATTAGATAGCGAAACTCTAAAGTTGAATCCCGGCAGAAGACAAGGTTGTTGCTTACTTTCCCGGGGCCAACCTGCACTTCACTAGCTGAGGTGTGCGTCTTTCACTGTAATGAGCTTTCATTTGGCAGGCGGCTGCGTGCTCTCTTGGGCTGGCCTGCTCTCTGTACTAGACTGTAAGGGGGTGTTTCTCACTTTTGTGTTGGTCCTGGTGCAGGCCCTGCTGGGTCTCTGGAGCTAGGCCGCACCCTCTCTGTGAAATCTGTATCTCTTATTTGTTGCATCTGTTCTCACTCTCTGATGTGACTCTGTTCTTGAATTCTTTCCTGTGGCGGAATCGAGAATCTGATAAGAGCAGGGGGTGAATTAAGGCCAACTACTGGGCTTTCCCAGACCCTTCTCTGGCATCAGCTGCTGTCCCAAGCAAATCCAGAAATGGGTACTGCTCAAACACAATGGAAGTTAATATCTTGCTCACTTAAAGTCCCAAAGCGATATCCCTCTAAGCAGTAATCTAGGGACCCGGGCTCCATGGGTCTTCTGGCTCCACCCCTGTTATCACTGACTCTCAGGTGCTTGTCCCATCAAGCTGGCAAAGGAGAAAGACAGCTGGAGAGTGGCAAGGGGGAGGTTTTATGGGGCAGACCTAGAAGAAGCATTTGTCACTTTCATTTAAATTCCATGGGCTCCGTATCCACTCATCCGATGATGGACATTTGGGCTGGTTCCAGCTCTTGGCTATTGTGAAGAGTGCTGCAATGAACACTGGGGAACAGGTATACCTTCGACTTGATGATTTCCATTCCTTTGGATATATTCCCAGCAGTGGGATAGCTGGGTCATATGGTAGATCTATCTGCAACTGTTTGAGGAATCTCCAAACCATTTTCCATAGGGGTTGCACCATTTTGCATTCCCACCAACAATGTATGAGAGTTCCTTTTTCTCCGCAACCTCGCCAGCATTTATCGTTCA